AGTTCAACCTTGGTTTCATCAGACCATAACACATTTTCCCAAATGCTTTAGGAAGACTCCAGATGTGTTTTTCAAAATTTAGCCAGGCTTGGATGTTTTTCTTCGTAAAAAAAAGGTTTCTGTCTTTCCACTCTACCCCATAGCCCAGACATATGAAGGATATGGGAGATTGTTGTCACATGTACCACACAGCTAGTACTTGCCACATATTCCTGCAGTTCATTTTAATATTGCTGTAGGCCTCTTGGCAGATTCCCAGACTAGTTTTCTTCTCGTCTTTTCATCAACTTTGAGGGGCGTCCAGTTCTTGGTAATGTCACTGTTGCACCATATTTTCTCCACTTGATGACTGTCTTCACTGTGTTGCATGGTATATCTCATGCCTTGTAAATTCTTTCGTACTCTCCTCCTGACTGATACCTTTTTACAATGAGATCCCTCTGATGCTTTGAAAGCTCTCTGCGGACCATGGCTTTTGCTGTAGGATGCGACTAATAAAATGTCAGGAAAAACCTACAAAAGAACAGCTGAACTTTATTTGGGGTTAAACCGAGGCAATTTAAATGATGGCAGGTGTGTAATGACTCCTATTTAACATGATTTTGAATGTGATTGCTTCATACTGAACAAAGCTACAGCCCCCAGTTAGAAGAGTGTGCACACTTCTGCAACCACACCCCCCCCCCCCCCCCCCCCCCCCCATAAAAGATTTCATTTTGTTCTTCAATTTAGTTGTGCAGTTTATAGGGTACAATAAAGGTGGAAAAAGTTCTGAAATTATTTTTCCCACTTGTTTACATCACAGAAACCTGACATTTTAACAAGGGTGTGTAGACTTTTTTATATCCACTGTACATCATGCGTCAAAGGAGCTGTCCATGCAAGTGAAACAGGCTATTGTAAGGCTTCAAAAACAAAACAAATCCATCAGAGAGATGGCAGCAACATTAGGAGTGGCCAAATCAACAGTTTGGTACATTCTGAGAAAAGAGGAATGCACTGGTGAGCTCAGCAACATAAAAAGGCATGAGAGGATCCTGCTATTATCCACCACTGTTAAGAAAAACCCATTCACAACATCCAGACAAGTGAAGGACACTCACTAGGAGGTGGGCATATCATTGTCAAAGTTTACGATAAAGAGAAGACTTCACGAGAGCAAATACAGAGGGTTCACCACAAGGTGCAAAAACCATTCATAACCCTGAAGAATAGAAAAGCCAGATTAGACATTGTCAAAAAATTTTAAAAAAGCCAGACCAGTTCTAGAAAAGCATTCTTTGGATGGATGAAACGAAGATTAATCTGTACCAAAATGACAGGAAGAAAAGTGTGGGGAAGGCTTTGAACAGTTCTTGATCCAAAGCACAAAACGTCATCTGTAAAACATGGTGGAGGCAGTGTGATGTCATGGGCATGCAGGGATGTGCAATTCCTATTGCCCGACACCCGGGACATGTAGTTCTGGGCGCCGAGCAGGTAGTTTTTTCTTCTACCTTTTTAGCCTTGCTGCGGCAGCAGGGCTCATCTGTTACGTGGAAGCTATCGGTGGCAGCCAAAAAATCATCACATGGAGGACTTTTTGTCCCCTATATTATGAAAAAAAAAAGTTAATAGCATTTTTTTTTTAAATGGTAAAAAAAAAATCCAAGTTGCACCCAAGCACATAACAAATAAAAAATTAAGGCACCCCACATATACGCAAGTACAAAAGTAAAAGCACACGCTGGGGCGCCTACGCATGAAAACGTGGATTGCGATACACGTTTCATATGCGCACGCCAGGATGAGAGCAATAATTCTAGCACCAGATCTCCTCAAAAAAAAAAAAAAAAAAAAAACGGATTACCTATAAGAGGCTTTAAAAAGGTCACCTACAGAAAAGAAAATATAGGGTACTGAAGTTTCTCGCCATTTCACGAGCGCATGCACATTTTAAGGTTTGACATGTTGGATATCTATTTACTTGCTGCAGCCCCATCTTTTATACTTTACAAAAAATAGGGTAATTTTATTGCTTTTTTTGTGACCTAAAATTAATTTTGTATATTTTTTTACTGAAATTTTGCATTTCCTAGACCTTTGCGGTAATATGCAACATAAAGAATTGGAACTAGCGCTATTTTATTCTACTAGGTTCTCTGATTGCAGAACATATACAATGTTTGGGGGTTTTGTGTAATTTTCAAGCCTAAAATGAATTTTTAAGTGTGCAAAAAAACACAAATTACTCTGGCAGCGAAACGGATAAAGGATAAGCCCGACACTCCGCTATCCTGACAAGCACCCAATCAGTGCTCATTCTACTGCAAGGTCTCTCTGTTCCCTGACAGTCCCCGAGTGCGGTGCTGGAGACAGGCACGGAGGGGAGGAAGCGATAAAACGGAGTAATGTTAAAAATATTAAATGTTTAAGTCGCCGTAAAGCCCATTTTGATTTTAAAAGTCCCAGACATTCCTAACAGCACCTCAGATTTAAATACGGCTTTGGTTAAAATTGACTTTTTTTTTTGATCAGGACAAGTAGATTGGACACCGATTTAAAGGTGGCCATACACTATACAATTTTCTGTTCAATTTCTGCCCAATTTCCTTTAGATTTACCTTCAGCTATGTAGTGCAAGGCCTGCTTAATTGGATACAATTGAAAGTGTTGTCTAGGTTTGACCTCATATTATATGGTTTTTGGTAAATCTAAACCAAAAATCTCAAAATTGTATAATGTATGGCCAGTCTTAGTCCCTGGACAAGTAGTTTTTTTAAAAGCTTCTATGCCCCTGGCATGCATGGCTTCCAGTGGCACTGGGTCATTGGTGTTTATTGATGATGTGACAAGACAGAAGTAGCCGGATGAATTCTGCAGTGTTTAGAGATATATTCTGTCAGCCCAGATTCAGCCACATGCAGCAAAGTTTATTGGACGGCTCTTCACAGTACAGATGGACAATGATCCAAAACACACTGCAAAAGCAACCCAGGAGCCTTTGAACGAAAAGTGGAATATTCTGCAATGGTTGAGTCAATCACCTGATCTCAACCCTATTGAGCATGCGTTTCATTTGCCGAAGGCAAAACTAAAGGCAAAAAGACCCACAGAGAACAACTGAAGACAGCTGCAGTTAGTGCCTGGCAAAGCATCAGAAAGGAGGAAACCCAGTCTTTGATAATGTCCATGGGTTCCAGATTTCAGGCAGTCATTGCCAGTAAAGGATGCTCAGCAAAATATTAAAAATGAACATTTTATTTATGATTATATTCATTTGTCCAATTACATTTGAGCCCCTGAAAATAGAGGGACTGTGTATAAAAATGGTTGCAGTTCCTAAAATTTGTGCTTGATATTTTATATTCAACCCTTTGAATTAAAGCTGAAAGTCTGCACTTTAAATTCATTTGAATTGTTTTGTTTTAATTCATTCTGGTGGCCTGCAGAGCCAAAAGTATGAAAATTGAAAATTGTGCCTGTGTCCAAATATATATGGATATAACTGTAATGTACCATAGTTAATATAGACGCTATAACCTTCACACAAACCAATTAATATACATGTATTGGGTTTTTTGGGGGTTTTTTTTTTTTTTTTTTTGCCAAAGACCTGTAACAGAATACATTTTGGCCTAAATTTATGACTAACTTTGAGTTTATTGGGTTTGTTATTTTCTATTTTAGGATATATATATATATATATATATATATATATATATATATATATATATATATATATATATATAAACTTTGCTTTTTTTATTCTGTTTATCACAAAAAATAAAAATACCAGTGATTTGATCAAATAGCACCAAAAGAAAGCTCCTAATGTGTGTGGGGGGGGGGGGAATTAAGACATACATTTTCATTTGCATACAGCGTTGCATGACCACGCAATTACCAGTTGAAATAGCCTGGTCAGGAAGGGGGGGGGGGGGTAAACCTTCTAGAGCTGAAGTGGATATCATCAATTTTTTGTTTTGGTACTAGGCTATCTCTGTATGCACCATTTTTTTTCACATGCTTACAATGGTCAGCTTTTGTTTGTGTAAAACCTATATCCCAAAAGGGGTAAAAAAAAGTTTTGCTGATTTGGTAAGCTGCAATATAATCTTTTTGCATTTGGATTCAATACTGCTTTTAAACGTATTTTTTTATTTTTTTTAGAACTCTTCTTGTGACAATAGAAGCAGTATAAGTAAAGTCAAATGCTATATCAAACTTGGGCTGTCCATACATTATACAATTTTCCTTTAGATTCACCAAAACCATATAATAAGAGGTCAAATCTGAACCGTTTCAGCTTGTATGCAATAAGGCAGGTTCTTGCACTACATAGTTGATGATAAATCTAAAGGAAATTGAACAAGAAAATTGTATAATGTATGGCCAGCCTTAGACTTGGGATGGTGATTGGATTTGCAAGGATTTTTTTTTTTCCCCCTCTAATTAGTGTGCTAGGTTGGCCATAGATTATGCATTTTTTTTTTTCCTTTCACAGTTTGTGGAAGGAAAGAAAATTGCTAGATTCCACAACCAACACAGTCGGTGTTGAGAGTGGGGGGAGTGTTTTCCTCCAGCAGCCCTGTTGTGTTCTGCCGCTGGGGAACCTTCCATGTCTGCAGAACACAATGATTAGTGTTGCCGGCTAAAGCTGGTATTACTAATCATTTGGGAAAATCTTGTTAGGCTGGTTGTACACAAGTCGAACGACTAAACTTTTGTACAACTAGGGTACCCGTATATGAATTGAAAATCGGCCGGTCTCTGCTGAATCGGCAGAATTTCGATCCTGTATGACTGGCTTTAGTGTGTACATTTATATTGAAATGTGTTTATATACTAACCAGATAAAATGGTACAACATACAAAACCTGATGAACTGATTAGGAAAATAACTACTTAATGGATCATTTCACAAGATGGGCAAAGGTTGTCGCGTGACATACCAATCATCACCAAGTGGCTATCAAAAATGCAAACTGTGTATTTAGTAATTTGTTTGTGTCTTATAGATATGGACTCCTCAAGACAGAGAATCTCTGCTAAGCAGTTTAGCACAATTGCTCTTGGACAAAGAATGCACACTTCTGATTGGACGACAGCTTCGACCATTGCTATTGGATCTTTTAGAAAGAAATGCAGAATCTATAAAATCAGGAAATCAAGTTAATCATGACCTTCATGAGAGGTTATGTGTTGCAATGAGTAAATTGGTCACCCGTCACCCTGATGTCCTCCCGTGAGTATTCATTTGTGGACTTTTTATTGTGTTCGGTTTTTGTTAAAGTGTACTTCTGTGATTTAGCAACTATTGGGTTTGTGGGACACTAAAGAATATTTGGTAATGACGTTTGATGTTTTTAGAAAGTAACTCTTAAAATGAAAGCTTTTCACCCCTCAAAAAATCTTTGCCAAAAACAAACCGATGCTTAAAAGTAGCCTGTTTTATTAGTTGTCGTCTTAAACCTACATCTGAAACAAGACTAGAGCAATGAACAAACAATATGATCTTGTATTCCAGGACTGTGCCTTAAAGTGTTACTAAACCCACATTAGTAATTTCAGTCTATATGCAGTAAATCATGCTTGTTATACTTACTGTGAAACCTGTGGGGTTAATCTTCCGCATTGTGTAAAAAGGCTGTTTGATCCTGTCTTCTCTGATCCTCCCCTTGTACTGTCCCCAATCCATCTGCTGATAGTACAGAACCCTAGTAGACTCTCTTCACATGCTCAGTTTGGTGTGTATTACTAGAGTTTGTTTTTTTTTTTTTCTTTGGTCCTTTGTTAATCACATGCAACCCAATCAGCACTGTCCTGACAGAGGTTCAGGGGTCATGCAACCTCATAGGACAGTCAGGGGAGAATGAAAACTACTCCTATAAGATTAACTAGTGCTCGGACGGACATTGATAGACGTCACAAGGCTGTTTGTATACTGCTGATGGGAAAAGGTATTTAGTAGTTTATATTCACTAAAATGATTGCATTCCCATGTACTGTGGGAGACGGGTCATGGGTTTAGTAACAGCATTTTACCTTCTGTTTATGCTCTTTGCCCTAGAACATGTGATGAGATAAACTTCAAAAATTGCCCCAATCTTCAGTGAAATACACAGAATCCTTGTGGCTCAAGGCCTGGACAGTTAAAGCTGTTTGCAAAAATTGCCTCAAACATATGCCCTTTTTGAAGGCAATTTCTTCTTGGCAAGGCTCATGACAAATTCATAAAAGATGTAACAAGGAGGTTTTAATGGTTTCTTCCCTCAGTGTTCCTAAACCCACAACAGTAAAATCAGTCTGTATATGCAGTAAAGGGGTTAATCCTCTGCATTGTGTAAAAAGGCTGTTTGATCCTGACTTCTCTGATCCTCCCTTTTTTCCATTGTTCCCCCTCTTATGTCCTGATAAGACATATGTTGTGTGGAGTTGCTCTGCACATGCTCAGTTTGGTGTATATTGCCGGAGAGGGTTTTTTTTTTTTTTTTTCCCCGTGTGAAATAAAAATTATGCGGAGGGGTGGTTTTTTGGAACCCCCCTATTTTATATTAAAACCATGTACTATTTTGTCAGTCCCTATAATTAGTATATATATCTAAGCTTTGACAATATTGATGGAAGTAATATATTACAATATTAGCTATAATAAACACAATGCTCAAAGAAGCAAGGTGTCACAAGTTAGCTTGCAGCCTCTTGTGTGTTTACTCTTACCTCCTTGCTGCTCTTGTTTCCTTCACATGTGTATTTGTCTGTGGGTGTCGTCTGCTCTTCCCTGGGTTTTATGTCCTTCCCTTTTCATCACTTCCTGGGCCGCCTCCTAGCTGGCTTGTCTATTTAAGACATGCTCAGTGTGTCCCACTTTACCTGAGCAACTTTGTGGTGTTGAAGCTCCTGTGTGGTTCCGCTGTGTATCCTGTGTTTTTTATCTGTGTACCGACCCCAGCTTTGTTCCTGACCTTGCTAGTTTTCTGCCTGTCCTGACTTCGGCTTGCCCATTGGATTCTCAGTGTCTTCTCCCTTGCACCCTGCTCCCGGTAGCGGTCTCCTCTACCTTAGCTTGGGTGTACCTGGGGACTGCGACCTGGTCCCAGACTGCTGCAAGTCTATCCCCACCATCAGGGGCCCTGGTGAACAAGCAGGCTGGGGCTTAGATTCCGCGCCCTGGGGGGGAACCCCAAGCTGTGGTTTGATAGAGCTCACTACTGTAGACTTGACACAAGGCCTTATTTACAAAGGAAGTAAAACACTAACCAAGAAATCTGAACCAATATTACAGCGTATATAGAAATAAAAGTAAAGATAAGTAGCGCAAGTTCGTCCTCAAAGCTGAGTATCCTTTAGCTGGGTTCCATGTAGAAAGAGTGAACAAAGAAGCAAGCATGGCCAGAATTGTGTATGAAAGCCCTCTCAGGCACCACACACACCGGTGACCCACCTGGTGTAGTCCACCGACCAATGGGCGAACGTCCATAACTCATAAGGGGCTGTCCTCCCTACTCATTAGGAAGTATAGTGTTACCCCAGCCATCCTCCTGGAAGTATGTCGTTGTCTCCACCAGGAGGCACTGCTATATTGCCAAATATGCTATGACCCAGGTCAGCATTCCAGTCCATATCTGGTTTCTTGCTTCTGGCTATAAGCCTTGTAATCTGTCCTTTTTAGTCTTTGGGTCACCAGAGAATCTGGGATGAGGCTGTCATCGCCATGCCCCACCGCTAGGGGGTCTGCGTGAACTCCCAAGACAAGGATTTTAGTATGCAGCCTTTTGTTACACGCCCTGTTGTAAATACTTTCCAAGATGACATTCAACAGGCCAAATAGTTCTTTGATAACCAGGCAGTAAGAATCCATAAATGTCTGAGATAGAAACATGTTGCCTTCCAACACCTTGGGAGAGTGATCGGCACAGGGCCAATCAGCACTGTCCAGACAGAGGTCAGTGCTTCTGCATCCTCCTAGAGCAGAATTAAAAACGACAAGCTTTAACATGTGCTCTGCTGGACACTGATAGAAGTCACAAGACTGCTCTAACTGCCCAAGGACAGTTGGATTTGCAGAATGCCCTAAACAATCCCTTGTCCAAGGAAGTATTTGTGCCAGTACCCCCCACAAGATGGGTTCAAAAGTTTCTATTCAATCCTGGGCATGATACTACAGCCTAACGGTGGTATTTTTCCTCTTCTTCTAGATTTAAAATCTCTGAACAAATACCTTCAAATTCCAAAACTTTGCGTGAAGTTTGGAAAGCTGCTTATTTTTTTGGAGACCAGAGGAATAGCTAGCATCAGTAGAGATCCAAGATGCCATCTGCATATTCCCATTTATCCCATCTAATCAGCGTTTCCTGTTCTTTGCAGTTGCAAACTATCATTTTCATTGTGTTGCACTGCTTTTTGGCCTATTCTTTTCATCCAAAGTTTTCATGCAGGTCCTAACACTTCTTGCCCTTCTCTGAACTCAGGGCATCCAGATCACAGGTTATCTGAATGGCCGCCTGAGGGACTCAACTCCCTTCCAGCTGTCTTCAAATTTTCACCGGGCAATTCTGATGCTCCAGCTATCTGGTCCTGGACAACATCCCAAGCAAAGGTTTTCATTCACAAGAAGAAAATTCTCTTGAGTTCATGCTTGAAGTCAGGTAAGTACATCCCACAATGAGATGCTCCTTGAGTTCTAGGCATTATGGTAGCTTCCTTTTTGAGGATGTACCATTTGCTTGGTTTCATTTGATACCTCGCCAACACATCCTGTTGACCTTAAACAAGGATGCTAGGATGCTCCTCTTAACCTATCTATGCTTCTGTCCAGCCAAGCAAGGAATTCCTTAAAATAGGTGAATGTCCAACCCAGCCTTTACCATAGGGAAGTCTTTCCTTTTTTTTTTTCATCACTGGAAAGTGAGCAGCAGATGCCAGTGTTTCAGACTGGGGAGAAGTTTCATTCCATCATGGTCCAGGGAACTTGGTTACCTTTGAAAGTCAAGCTTCCATCAATGTCCTGGAACTCAGAGCAATAAACCTGACTCTGCAACAAACACTGTACAACCCACCTCCCCCTTCTGCAAGATCACCCAATCAGGGTGCAATCGGAAAATGCCACATTGGTGGCCTACATCAGCCATCAAGGGGCACCAGAAGCTATTTACTCTTGAAGAAAGCAAGCCAGATAACCTCATAGACATTATCTAAAGGGTACAGTTGCACACGTAGGCCAGAGTTAGAGTCTGAGTTTGTAGGGGGGGTGTATTTTGGGTAATGTGGGATCTTTTTTGGGGTGAGATGCTTACATGGTGCTGTGATACTGTTTTTTTTAAATTTTTGATGCATAATATTGATATTTGATTACCTTACAGTTTTTACTCTTTGAATAAAGATTGAGCAGCTCTAAGAAGGTCTCTTCCCCCCACACATTTCTTTTTTTCTTAGGTTGTTTAGTTGTTTCCTGTGGTGAATCCCACCAAAGATATCTTGTGCATAGCATTTGCTACGTACATACGCACCTTAATTCTGTTGTGGGCTCCTAGGCCTTTTGTGCTTCTTGGGATCTCAGCTGTGTTGTGTCTGGCCTGCAGAAACCACACTGTGAGCTCATCAGGGATATCTGTCTTCGTTGGCAGTTTTTTTTTTTTTTTTTTCATTTTTAATCACAAGGTAGTCTTGTGCCCAGTAATATCCTTCCATTCTAAGGTGGTATCAGTGTCCTACCTCACCATGCTTTCCTCCAAAGCATCCAAATGAAATAGCTTTTCACTGTCTGGATGTAGTCAGAGCCAAAAGAGTACTTCACAACAACTGCTTTGAAAAGGAAGATCTATTCCCTATTTTTTGTCCATAGGACCTCCCAAGGGACAACCTGCTTGTAAGTCTACCATTGCTCTATGGATGAGAAGTCTTATTAAAGCTTAAACTCTCAAGAGCAAATCTCCTGCACTTTTATGCACCTACTCCACCATGTCGTTGGGCGTTCTTAGGCATTCCATCAATAGGCTCTGTAGCTCAGCTTTGCAAGGCTGCCACCTGGTCCTCCATTTTTATCTTTTCTAAGTTTTGCCAGGTGGCTGTTCCAATCTTCTGCAGAGGCAGTATTCAGCTGCTAGATTCTTGCAGCAGCACTCTGAAGTTGGAACTATTGACCCTTGTTGGCCCTGTTGGAACAGTTCTGTTGTTGCTCACCCCCTTCTCATTCATTGCTTGGGGATGTCCCAAGGTCTATGAATACTCAGCTTGTGTCCTATA